TTTTCTGTTTTTATATTGTGCCAAGAAACCATCTTGTTTCGGGTTTGTACGGGTTCTTATGTTACTGTTTGTGAACCACCCAGAGACAGTTGGAGTTGGGCAGTGTCCAAATTGAATTAAATAAAAGAATAAAATTAATAAAATTAAGTTTAATTTAAAAAGCTTAAGATAACTAGGAATGGATTTTTATGTGTATGAACTCCATTCAGCTCAGCTAGTTCCTCAATTTAGAATTATTCTACATGCATATCTTCGGCATTTGGCTCCTGTTGGTAGAATTTAAGTAGATGCCTGCTGATCTCTGTGCTCCATAGGATGATAATGATGGTGATGGTGATGATGATTTCTGTTGTCCTATTTGCATGACTTTAGGATTATGGCTAGTCATGATGAACAGTGGTCCAAATTGATGTACAAACCTGAAAATCAAGTTCTGAATCTTTAGGTATTTTTTATGCCTTTTAGGCATAAAATTCCCCAACTCAGAGCATAATTCAAAATTAAAACACTACATTTCCTTTTGAATTTTTTTCCAACTTATTTTTGTGATGTTTATAGTAGTGATGCATATAAATAGAATTTTGAGTGTCCTAGCGAGGATTTGGGTTGCAGATAGCCTATGGCAATGCAGAGCCTGATTCCCACCTACCATTATATAAAGTACAGCAGAAAACATTTCACAATCCAAGAAAAGAGGTGTTCCTGTAATGAAATAAATATGGCCTAAATTACACCATGGCTCTGTCCCCATTTGCATTTAACCATGGCACAATCATTTAGATGTTTAAGGCCACCCAATTTACAGTGACTCCAGGCAGTATACAGATTTAAAAAAACAAAGCCTCAATACATTAAACCAGTAAAACATCACTATGGCCATAACCAAGGGGAAAAAAAGTAACACAGACACATCAGACTTACTCCAGTCCAGGTGTGCACACTCCCTAACTGAACCCAGGGCCTGGGAAAAATCCAGGTCTTCAAGGTTCATTAAATGATAGCAGGGTTGGAGTTTCCAAACCTCCATGGGAATACTGTGCCAGAAGACAGATGCCATGATAGAGAAGGTATGCTTCCTAGGCCCCATTAGATGGCATTTCTTAACCAATGGAACCTGGAACATGTCCACTTTTTCAGATCTTACAAGACAGGGAGAAACAATGGGAGAAAGGCAGTCCCTCAGATAGTCAGGTCCTATAGAACTTTGCAGATGACAATAAAGACATTGAATTGCTCCTGGAAGCTCACCGGAGCTCATGTAGCAAATGGGCACACTAGAGTACACTTAAAACTGCTCATGCTGCTGCATTCTGGACCAGCTGTGACTTCCAAGTGGTATTCTAGGGCAGCCCCATGTACAGTGCATTGTAATAGTTCACACACAAGATGACAAAGGCATAAGTAATTGTGAAAAGGGACTCTCAGTCCCGAAAAGGGCCCAATGGTATGCCAGATGAATCTATGCAGGGGACCTCCTGGGCACAGCTGCCACTTACTTTTGAGCAGCAGCTGCAAATCTAGGAAAAAACCCAATCCTATTCAGAACTGAGGATTGAAAATTTATGACACAGATGGAACACGTAACCTAACCCAGGGCCTGGGGAAAATCCAGGATTTAATGTGACACATAATCCACAACCACTTAGCTTTGTCAGGGTTGAGCTTAAGCCTATTTAGCCCCCAATAGCCTCCATCCATTTGGACAAAACCTTAACATCACTTAGCATCACTTGGTCAACCAGGTCTTGAGATGTATAACTGAGTATCATCTGGGTACTGATGATACCTGATCCCATGTTGACAGATGACCTCACCCACTACTTTATGTAGATGTTACCCATGAAAGGCAAGAGCACTGAGCCCTCTGGCACCCCACAGTTCAGAAGCTTCAGTCTTGACCTCTCCTATTGCTTGCATGATTCTGATTTTTGTAGGTGTAGACACATCGTGGCAACTGAATATCTCCAAAGATCTGAATAGTGCAGGCAATACTTTTCCCTGTAACACTTTACGAAAGGAAAAGTTGAGCTTTGAAAAGCATGACAGAGAAATAATTGAATACTTTTCAATGTTGGTACTGGAGGTAACTCCTGAGAATAGCATGGCTAGCCAAGAAAACAAATAAATTCAGAGTTCTCATGTGATGCACAAATGACCAGGTTCAAATTATCATATTTTGGACATATCATGCAAAGACCTAACTGTCTGAGAAATCCATAATGCTGGGAAAAATGGAAGAAAAGAGCAGAAGAGGGCAACCAGCAGCAAGGTGGATGGACTCAATTACAGAGGTGATGGGTGCACCATTGGAAGACATGAAGGGCCAGGTTAGGGAGAAATCATCCTGAAGATCTATCTATATGCTTGCTAAGAGCTGACACTGTCTTGACGGCACATAATCAATCCATGTTTCTTGGTACTGATATGGGCTTCATTAATTGGTAGTAGATCCTTATGACATTTTAAACAACTTGGTTTAAAGAATAAAGTTTGTATAATTGAGGTTGCACTGTTCTCCTATCCTTGTAATACCTGTCATTCTATATTCATTGTTATTAATAATTATTATAACAATAAATAGGATGTAACTAACAATGTCACTATATAAAAATTACACTATATGAGTTTACCAACAATAGCTGTTAATATTAATGGGTATCCATGAAAATCTGAGTTCCATATTGGATCATATTCATGGTGCTGATGTTATTTTATTTCATAGAAAAGACTTGGCAGGAGTTTGGATATTCAAGATCGGCCTAAGGGCCCAAAGGATTGTGGAGAACCAAGTGCATCATCTATGTTCCGGAGACACACTGATCCAGCGCAACAGTCACAGGTATTGTAAGCTCATCTTTTTTTCAGAGACAGAATTTAGACTGATAGGTAATGCAACTCAACTTTGGTTAAAAAAACAGTTCAAATTCATTTTTCTGTGTACAGTATGTCACTTGAAGAGAAAAATGACATTAAGCAAAATGGGAAGTTTTGGAGAAGCTCTCAGGAACTTCCAAAAATGGTTAAGAAACTGCAATATTTAATGTTATGGAAGGGGAGCTACTTAATAATTTAAATATTGAAGTAATTTAAATAATTGGAGGGTATGCATTTTGATTATATTATTTTAATTAAACTTAAATGTAAATGATCAAACTTAGTTATTTTCTTGGTCCCACACACTATCTTTTGGAGTGCAACCCAGCAGAACTCTTAAATATCAAGCACAGCCTTCAACCCAGAAACAGCTGAGGATCTATACCATGGCCTTTGGCTCATAACACAACATGGTACCTATGAATACCAGTATGCATACAGACAACTCCTTTGATTTCTGTCAGTTAACTTTGTTAATTAGAACAAGTTCTCACATAGTCACAAGCAAACAGCCTGATAACAGATTAGTCAGTTACCCCCCTTCCCCCCCAAAAAAGATGGAAAACATTCCAGCAGCCATGACAGTGTGACCCTAACCTGTTTTTTATGTGTGTTGTGACTTTTTTGACCATAACATGTGGACTCCTTTGCTGGAATTCTTTTGTAATGGCTTCTTTAGCTTTTATTTTTACAACAAATCTACATACAGTACCAGTAGTTTTTGTATTCTTAAATGCCTGTCCACATTGCTAGGAGAAGCTTTACAGCTGGCATGCTATAAAGTAAAGTGCCAATCTGTTATAATCTTTATTTATAAGTATCAGAATGTGGGTATGGATAGGAATGAAGCCAGACACACACAGAGCTAACAAGTGAAATACCGTACTGTTTATTATTATACCAGTTTAGCGCAAAATGTATTTACAATAATTCTAGTGACCAAGTGTTTATGTACATAGTAACCAAGCATCTACAGTATATAAGTATATACATTAACAATATTCTATTAAAGGTATACTAATAGACATAAAGTACTCCAACCTCTGCTCTTACACTTTCTTTTCTGAGTCTTTTCTGAGCTGCTACTTTCTTCTTCCTCCCACACTCATCTACAGTATATAAGTATATACATTAACAATATTCTATTAAAGGTATACTAATAGACATAAAGTACTCCAACCTCTGCTCTTACACTTTCTTTTCTGAGTCTTTTCTGAGCTGCTACTTTCTTCTTCCTCCCACACTCATCTACAGTATATAAGTATATACATTAACAATATTCTATTAAAGGTATACTAATAGACATAAAGTACTCCAACCTCTGCTCTTACACTTTCTTTTCTGAGTCTTTTCTGAGCTGCTACTTTCTTCTTCCTCCCACACTTGTTTATCAACAGCATGGCTCAGGAATGCTTTTCCTGCCTAACCTGTTACTGTACTGGAGTCCA